ATAAAACTAATTAAAGCTGGTGAAACTTCTGATGATAAATTGTTGTCAGAACCAGCTGTTCAAATGGAATTCTATGTTCTAATGCTGATATCAGAACCAGCTAATCGGAGGCTGGGAGAAGCAGTGGCTGATGTATGAGAGCAGTGGAATCCCCTGAGACAGAATTCTAAAATTGTATTTTAGTTGTTTTCTTTTTTATTGTATCTTAATTGTTGTACGCCACCCAGAAACCTTTGGGTAATGTGGGTGGCATATTAAATAAATAAATAAATAAATAAATAAATAAAGCAAGCAAGCTAGGAAGCAAGCAAGCAAGCAAGCAAGCAAGCAAGCAAGCAAGCAAGCAAGCTTGGGAGATGAAGAGACAACAATTATACTCCCTAAGCCTATGAAAGTGATAGCACAGAGAATAGAAAGTCCCAAGAACAAAAATAATTATCTTTAAAAATAAATTGATTTGGAAACAGAATTGACTTAAGACCCAACCAGTCATGCTTTTAATAACTTGGGAAGTGGCTACCCACAGCAATGGACAGGCAATCCAAGAAGACTCAACAGTATCTTTTAGTCCAACCTCAAAGATGTATGTGTTTTTTCGAGCACTACTTCGTTTCCTTTTCTGCTTATGCCATGGCAGGTTCTAATCAAGGGGCTGAGAAAGCTGTTCCTGTGTACTCTGACTGAAGCTACAGCGTATACAAGGTGATGTCACAGCATCAGACCCAAAAACTTTCAGTTCAGTATTTCAAGTCAGGTTAAATTAATGCAGGCCCACCTACGTTAGAATAAACAAAGAAAATGGAAGCTATATATACAAAGAAGGCAAAAAATATTATTCAATTGACTGTAGAAAATATTTCTTTGAAATTGTTTCTGCGATCACTCCTCTTCAGATGGCCATGAAAAGAAACTGAACACAAATGTGTTCACCCTCAAGACATGTACAGTCTCTAGGCATGCACAGATACTTTAAAAAACCCTCTCAGGGGCTTCCTAGCTAATTGATGATGATGATTGCCTCAAGATGCTCAAATCAAAGGGAAGAAATTTGAAAAGATTGCCAAACACAAAGATTTATAAAATGAGAATAAGCAATGGGGGGCACTAACATTGTTCTAGTTGTAACTGCAGCATTAGGTACAATATCAATGCTGTAGAACACCAACTTCGTACTCTAGAAGTAAATGAGATCACAACACTCCAACTGTAGAAGGCTGTTGTACTTGGAACAGCAGATATTTCAAGGCTATACCTATTAATATCTCAAATATTCCCTTGGGAAATATCCTTGGAAATGACCTGAAATTCAAAAAGTAAATCCAGCTATCATTTGATGAACTTAATAATAATAATAATAATAATAATAATAATAATAATAATAATAATAATAATAATAATAATAATAATCAACATCATCATCATCATCATCATCATCATCATAGTCATAACAATCATAATAATCATAATAGCAGAAATGGGAAGAAAAAAGTGAGTAGGAAATCCAAGTATAAATGAATTAGAAATCATATAGAAAAATAAGAACTGATTACTTCTGCTAAATACATGCAAGTAATTACTGTAAATAAGATAATGAAAGGGCTCAGATTGTCAAGCAGTTGTTTGGACTGCCTTTATAAATGGCTAAAAAACCATTATTAATAATTTTTATAATATCAAACAAAACTATACAGTCAATAAAAGTATTAAATACCGTATTTTTCACACCATAAGACGCACTTTTTTCCCACAAAACAGGGGGGGTGGAAAGTCTGTGCGTCTTATGGAGCGAAGAAAACAGATTATATTTTCCTGTTTCCTTCTCCTAAAAAATTGGTGCGTCTTATGGAAAGGTGTGTCTTATGGAGCGGAAAATACGGTAATAAACTACGCAAAACAGACCAGAACCAGGGGCACTTTTCCATGAATATAAGGATTCTTTCTATTTTCAGAAGGGACTGAGAGTCAGCAGGCTCCTGCTAGAGGAAGCACTTTTTTTTTTTTTACAATTCCCTCTTCCCTCCAAAACCTACTACCACCATCTAATTATATTCAAGATCTCCCACCACCAAAAAGAGCAGGTTTTCAGAGATCAGATTCCCACAGAAAAAAGAGTAATCAGTGAAAACCGTCTTGTCTTGTCACTGGAATCTGAGCCATTAGAACAAATGTGAGAAACCTTTCTCTCTTAATATGTTGCACAACAACTCCCATAATCTGAGCAGCGGTCATATTGGATAAGACACATGGCAGCTAGAGTTCAAAAATGTCTTGAGGAATACATTCCCCACCTTTTGGCCAGTCTTAGATATTATTTCTATAATCCTATCCTATTTAATGCTTGAATCTGGTATTCATAAAATCACAATGTGAATACATAACTGAAACATAATTAACTGACTTGCTGAACTAATGAGAACATTTTAAAATCTTAGGGTTTACATCTACCTGTGTCTATCTGAACAGAATTCTCTCATGCTATATTACAAATACATTATTAAACTTTTCTTGGTTGAAAAACGGTGGGCAATGTTAGCTGCAGTTTAGCAAATACAGTATATTGAAAACAATATTGGCAATCAAACCTAGTCATACAGATTGGTGGCTCATGACCCGTTTTGTTTGAACCTGGCAAAAACTATCTTCCAGTTAAGTACTATGTGAATACTGGAAGAAAAGGGGCTGAGATGAGCATGTCACTTACCTATAACTCTGTTTCTCAAGTGCCCAACTGTGAATTCACACATAAGATTGTGTGTGTATTCACAGTGATCATGAATAAGAACCATGCAATTCTATCCCATTTGTTTCTAAGGTCCTATAGTCTTCATGATTACAACCCCAATCCCATAGGTAGTCACTTAAATGATTTTCAGGATGAAAATTGATTTTTATTTTTAAAGAAATGAAGATATGATGACATAATGCCACCCAGTGTTACGGTGCAGTTCCTTCTGGACACAGGGCTCAATCATTACAATTGCTAGAACCAGATATTATTCTGTAGCTCATCAGAATAATTCACCAAATTCACCTGGGTAATACTGTAACTCTCACCTTCTGCCAAAGCTTTGCAATGCAGTCTTTCCCTACATCAAGAGTACTTACAGTTTTGCCATGCAATTCCGAACATAATTACTTTCCAACTCCTGTGATAATAATGTTCTGTCCAGAAGTACAAACCTTTGCTTATGGAAAGTTCTGAAAATTTCCAGAGCAACGCACACCATATACAGAAGTTACCAGCAAAGTTGTTTATGGCTAAACAATTATGCTTAGGATGGAACATTGACTTTTCAAGTAAGAGATCTTGCTCAGTACTTCCTGCACATTTACAAAGAAAACTAAAGAAAAGCCCATTAATGTCACAGAAAACCCCACTTCATAATAGTTTTACACTGAAAGAAACATCTGCGCTACATAATCCTAACAATAATTCTGAAATATGCTCCAGCTACTGTAGTATAACAGTTCTACTAGTCCAATGCCAGTATTTTAACATTTGACACAGAGCAAATAGCATGCACACTTGCAAAGAAGGACATGTATGAGTTTCAAGTGGGAAACATTCATTTTTATTGCTGTCATTTTAGTGATTTGATTGCCTTGACTTAACGTAATCTCATCTGACCTCGGCAGGACACACTCTTCTCTCCAAATGGTTATCTTTACTCTCAAAATCTATTACATTTTCCCACTCACAGAGAGCTTTGGAATCCGCAACCAGATGGGCGGGATATAAATCAAATAAATCAAATAAATAAATCAAATAAATAAATCAAATAAATCAAATAAATCAAATCAATCAAATCAATCAATCAATCAATCAATCAATCAATCAATCAATAAATAAATGAATGAAATTGACCATATTGCTGCACAAATATAGAAGAGGAAAAGCACTTTCAACATAACCCTTTGCCAATCTACTTTGAAAAAATCCCACTGTTTCCTTCCAGGTAATTAACTGTATTTTTGCAATGCTGACAAAAGAGTTCCATATTATTTTAAATGTTTTCCCTCCTTCTTGAAACTAGACCCATGCAATCTGTTAATAGATACTTTCACTTAAAATTGTTAAGAAAGCAGAAACTGATTATGATACGATGGCATCCCACCAATTTAAGTGAATCAGTCACTCCTTTAGTATTGTCTGGGACATAGAAACACAACCAAGACTACCATAATAAAAACATTATGATTTTTTTAAAAAAGGAAAGTGAAATCTACTCCTACATGCCCATGGATCCCACCTAAAATAAGCAATTCCTATTGCCTGTCCAGAGTCAAATTGAGTGCATGTCCATATATACGTACATGCATCCATCCCCCAACACACCATTCTCCATTCCCTTCTTGGTGAGGCCCACAGTAGGAGAGAGATTCTGCATGCACATGTAACACTGACTGGCATTTCTGATATTGATTTTTCCAATGCAGGAGGCTCATGCATCATGCGGTGGAAAGTTCTCTACCTGCTTAGTAAGTCACTTATATCAAGGAAAGAATCACAGTGATACAGTGACTCTGTCATTCCAAGATCCTTTTTACCATAAATATTTATACAGTAAAGCAAGTAATACACTAACATGTTAGTCTTCTTAGACCATTTTTGCCTACCCAATATCAATTATTTGGACCTAATATCAGTTGTTTGTACATTTCCACATATTTTTTTAAATATTAGGTACCAATGGAACTCCATAAATATCTTCTGGGGGGAGAAAATCTACAGTCAGATTAAATTATGGTTTCATATTCGATTGGAAGGCCAAATTTCTTAAAGGAAATAACAAAAGCAAATATTATATTGAAACTCTGAAAAGAAATTAATTCATGCCTAAAAAACAAACTGAAACATTTTATAGTTTTCAAATACTATTTCCTTTATACCTGAAATGAGAACTTGCCTTCTTAAGGATTCCATTTTCGTAAAAATGTTTAGCTTATACCAACCATATAAATTCACATGGTGGCCTCATAATAATATCAGCAGCACTTACTCATCATACTTGATATGATATATATTATCTTCATCATTGTCCATATAATCTGAATAAGACGTAGAAGGTGCATTGTCCAAATTATTCGTATTTTCTCTAGAATGATCTTGGCTTAAACTTCCATTAGTCCTTTTGTAATTACTTCCACCCTTTCCTTGAGCTTTTCCATTTTTATGTCCTTTTGTTGTTCGAGTTACATTTTCTATATGGGCTTCAAACCAGGATCCTATAGTGACATCTCGGGCATCCACCAATTCATTTATCTAAAAATAAATATAACATTTAGTTAATGTTAAGCTGAAAAACTGAACCAATAATTTAATGAGGTGCATTTTAAACCAACTGTAATTAGCTGCATTACTTTAGGTATTTTTTTTCTCTTTACCTTTTAGAAATATAATAGAACCTTGTACAGTCTGTCAAAAATAATTTTTAAAGTGCATTTTTAAGAGTACAAAAATACAGATTGAATGTAAAAGCAACTCCTTTTTTGTGTTCTGCTCTTCTCTCTTTCACATCATTGTTCACAATCACCAGGATTTAATGGATGTTGATGTTTTCTAACAATGCTTCCTGTCTCCTGATTTCAATCTGCAGAATTTCTAGCATTTGACTTCATGTTTTAAACCTCCACACACATGTTGATTTTCCCAGAGTACTGAAATTATTTAGCCCAGAAAACATCTCCCAACACAGCACTTAGCACTGATGAGGGAAACTGATGTTCACTTTGTTACATATAATCTGTCTACAGAAATATTATATAGGGAGAATTAAGGAGAAAAGCAGGATAAAAATATTTTAAATAAATAACTTAATAAGCTAGACCAGAGGTCTCATACTCAATTTCATCTTGGGCCACACTGGCATTATGGTTGCCCTCAAAGGGCAGGTTTATCTGTAAGACTATATACATGTATCTGCTTTTTAACATATTAAATATAATCCTCCTCATTCAATTATTACTGGTTTTAGTAATAACTTAATAACTAGCTCTGAAAGTAAAAGTCTATGAAACAATGGCAAGCAGATATTCAAGTGTACTGTACAACTATTGTACAATTTATTGAAAAGTGAGTTTTAGAAACACCCATTGACGCCTACTCCACAGCCCCACTCGTGTTTGTTTGTTTTGTTAATTATTCACCAAAGTCTCCCACCTTTCCCTTGTGCTTGCCACAGCCCTCAGCCCTTGTTATCACCTGGTCCTCACTCGTTTCCGTAGCAGATGCGGGAAAGGAGGCAGAGATGGTTGCTGCTAGGTGACACCATCAAACAGTCCTTGCCGGGAGCCCTTAGAACAGGAGTGGGCAATAGCAAGGACTTACCTTTCCCAAGGTGTTGCACGCCACCCAAGTGGCTGCACTTTCTGACTCTTTGGTGCTTGGAATGCTGGGATTAAAGTCCCAGTGGGCAGATTCCAAGTATCTTTGTGGAGCAGTATGGGTGACTGAGTAAGCGCCTGCATACTATATACTGCACAGTAGCAGGCAACACTGCGAGGACAATATGTAATGGCCTGGTGGGCCGGATTCGCCCCATGGGTCTTGAGTTTGATATATGTGATCTAGACATTCCTGAGTGTTACATTTCACACAACAGTTGAAGTTCCATTTGAGTTGGCATGATGTAAAGTAACTCCTGCAGAACTGTGTTACACATGATGCCTAGGCAGGCAGCATTGTGCGATTTGACTGTACAATCAACCACATGGTTCATGCCATGCTGTTGCATGTCACACTGGTGGAAGTATTTCGTCGACATTCCTTCTGTCCTGCTGCAATTTCTTCTACCACTTCCACAGTTTCACAGTACATGTAGCAATGCAGCAGGATTCTAGCCAATAAATGCAGTTACTAATTTGTTGCACAGAATCCAAATGTCTTCGCCTACAGAAACACTTCTGGAGAGTGAAAATTACATATTCCTAGTACATAAAATATAATATTTTGCTACTTGGACCTGTACTTTCAGTTGGCACTGTTACTACAACATCTAAAGCAGTTGTTAAGACTCTGTTCACAAGGGATTATTAGTCAGTCCCACTGTTATAATTTGTAATATGCAGAAAAACTTCCTTTATCCATGCCCACATTGTTTTGTGATTTAAAAGAAAAAACATGCATGCATTATATATATATATTTATGATACACAAACATATATTGATGTTAATTTTTAATAGATAAAACATAGTTTTGCACGTGCCTAGTCCTTGTGGTAGACTTTTGAACACTCACTTGTGCTAAATGAGAACTTCCTTCAGGCAACAAGACAGTGTAATTTAGCTGACTGTCATCTTTTAGACCACAAACTACTTCCACAGTAGGCAAGTGGCCCTTAGGGTCTGACTGATTGTTGTATTTGCATTTGGGAAGACATTATCTCAAATTGGATTGGCTTGGAATATACAGTACTTCCTTCCCCTGCAGCAAATGACTTCATTTGTCTGCACATACCATTTCGAGTATTCTAACATGAATATACCTGAGGAAAGACTGATGTAACTGAAACCCATGAAAAGAAAGTGTTGAAGAAATAAAGTTATCTATGCAGCCACGTAAAAAAGAAGTTGACAGTCTAAAGAACAGTGGACCTTGGAGCTCAGAAGGCTTCAAAAGCATGACAGCATTGCATCAGAATATACCTGTTGATTGGAACCTTCTGAGTAAATACTTGGCTTTATGTAGCAAGACTGTATTTCATGACTTCTAATTACAGTAGTGCCTCACTTAACAATGATAATTGGTTCCCAAAAAATCACTGTTAAGCGATTTCATCGCTAAGCGAAACACGGTTTCCCATAGAAATGCACTGAAAACCGGATAAGCTGTTCGAATGGGAACGGATTGCCGTCCTTAAGCGAAAATCACCACAGGAAACATCGCTAAGCGAAACACGGTTCCCCAATTAAAATGCATTGAAACCTATTCAATGCATCTCAATGGGGGAAAAAAAATTAAAACAAATATAAAAAGAATCGGAACAAAGTCAAATTAGTTTAACAAAGGGTTTATTAAGTGCACTTATGATTCCAAGCATTCTAAACATTTTTAAACATTTTTAAACATTTAAAAAACAGCCAACATGAGGCTGTCAAAACCATTGTTAAGTGAAACAGGGGGACCGAAACTGTCATCGGTATGTGAAGCATGGTCCCAAACATTGCTATGCGAAAATCGCCCATAGGAACCATAGTTAAACAGAGCGCAAGATCGCTCCGAAAAAGTAATCGCTAAGCGATTTCATTGTTAAATGAAGCAATTGCTAAGCGAGGTACCACTGTATATGCCTTTATGGCTCAATTCCAGAAACTCAAGACTGTATTGTTCCTCTACCCTGTTCTTCTGACCTTTACTTAGATGATCTGGAACCCATTCCCCTTAGCTACATTGTGGCAATGACAGAGGAACATGCAAAGGAGTAACTCAGATGGAATAATGTCAAGGGGTGGATATGCCCCATAAGCCATCCAATAATCATAATGTATTAAATCACAAAATTCGAATAGTATGATTTCAACATAAGACTCAAATCTATGGCCTTAGGTGAGTTACTACGCAGAAGTTGTAAGCCTTGGTAATATCCTTTTAAGAAATGAACTATTAACAATGCCTGAATTCCAGCTCCAGGATTATTTAGTATAGTATCAGCAAATTTCTATGGTAACTGAATTTTAAATGAAGCATGTGAAAAGACTTCTACATTTTGAGCCAAATCAAATCAGCAAGCACGCTCACTTGAAACAGTCTGTAAAATCATCTAAGAAACCTGAATTTCCATTACTGCGAAACTGAAAAAAAACCATGCAAAACAATCTATTACCAAATATAAGTTGGCATCTTATTAGAAAAAGTACGCTTTATCACATAAAGCAGATTTCACTTATTTTTCATTCATTCTAGTAAAGTCCATAGAAAAAGAAAAATACATTTTAGGTGTGTCATGTCACATGTTACTAACAGACATATACTGTACTCCAGTTAACACCATCTAGTATTAAATCAAGAAGATATTAACAATGGAGAAAACATGAACCCAATCCAAACAAGCAATTCTCTATTAGTTATCTTTGTAACAATACAAATAGAGGTGCCAGCAGAATGGTAATGTTTTCAATTACAAAAAAGCAACCAAAGTGAAAACTTCTCATTAACCAGAAAATAAAAGATCACAAAAACATTCAGATTCCAGTACTGAATAATATTATGACCAGTTAAGAATAAATAATTATTGTAATTCTCTTCTAATTGAAGTTTGTTATCACCGCCACCACAGCAATATCCCTGCTTTCTCATATATTTCTCTGTGTCTTCTACCCTACTAAAATGAGTTAAAATGACCTACAGACACCATTATTCCAAAGGAAAAGCCAAAGGCTTTAGTTTTAGTTTTGTCATGCCAAATTTAGTTTTATTCTTTATTCTTTCTACCAAAATGATCACAGGGAATGGAACAAAACAAGCTTTATTGTTTAAAACCATAGGTCACCACAATATCAACAGCAACACGAAACTGCACTGACCCCATATATTTATACATAACACTGGGAATTAAAAAAAGCAACTCAGATAAAGGCACAATAGCCAATCTTCTTAATGTCAATTACTTAAGCACTACAGCTAAGATTAAAGTTTCCCTCGCCAAACCCTTCAGATATCACAACTCTGATGTCAATACTCATTGCTTTTTTCTTCTTATACTGTATTTTTCGATCCATAAGACGCACTTCCCCCCCCAAATAGTTGAGGAGAAAGTATGTGCGTCTTATGAAGCAAATACAGTTTTAAAAAAGGGTTCAACCACCACCACCCAGAAGCCTCCCACTGCCATGCTGGGAGGCCTCTGAACTGGCACCAGAGACTGTTTGCTATTTGAGCCAGGCTCAGTCTGCACTGCTGGCTTTCCAGGATCTGCTTCCTGGAGCCCACCTGGAAAACCAGCAAGGCCAACAGGCCTATGGCAGCGGGCAGTGAAAACAGCAAAGGACCAAAGGGGAAAGAGTAATTCTAGAAAGACCAGGGGAAACCACAAACACAGTCCCCCACTTAGGCAGTTGATTTTCCCACATTTGGGGAAATCACAGGAGTCAGCACATCCAAAGTGCAATAGATGAGCCTCACCCTGGGAAAACCACTTTGATGATCATGGTATCTCCCCTGCCAGGTATGAGTTGGAATGGCCCCGGAACCTCCTGCCCCTTTCTGTGCCCTGCCCCCCAAGAGAGCTACTCAGTGTTTTGGGGTGCCCCACAGGACCCCCATC